ACCTCTGGTATGTTTCTTTAACTTGCCTTCCATGGTAAAATGTGTTCTTTTGTTTTATTTTGTTTGTTTTGAGGTCACTCCCAGTGGTGCTTGGGGGACCATGCAGTACAAAGGATTGAACCTGCTTATCCAGCATGCAAAGCATGTGCTGGCAGTCCTTTGAACTATCTCCCTGGCCTCAAAAATGCTTTCTTTCCACAGTGTTTATATGAATATTTTTCCTGTTCTTCAGGAGACAATGTTGATGTTTTATGAGTCTAGTGGATCTTAAAATCACCTTCCATTGGCTGTTGAAAATCAGGTAAAATCTGAGTATCTGGAGTTTAATGAAAAAATATAGTTATTTTAAAAATAAACATACTAAAGTATTGTAAGATTAAGAGAAACTAGGTGGATATATATATGGGGACTCCCTGTATTATCTCAGCGACGCAGTGTTTGGTGCCAGGTATCCAATCCAGAACGTCAAACACGCAATGTGTTTGCTATACCACTGAGGTACATTTCTAGCCGCCCCCCATGATATTTTTTTAAAAAAAATAATGGGGGGAGGTCAGGTGGGGAGGGACGGATATTGAGATCATTGGTGGTGGAGAATGGGCACTGGTGGAGGGATGGGTAACTGATCATTGTATGACTGAAATGCAAACACAAACGTCTGCAAGTATGTAATAGTACCTCACGATGATTCACTAATAAAAAATTTAAAAACAAATAAAATAATGGGCGGCTTATACATAGCCCACCAACCTGGATTCAATCTCCTATACCACATATGATCTTCTGAGTACTACCAGCAGTGTTTTGCATGCGGGAGATCCAGGTTCAATCCCCAAAACTCATGAGGTTCCTACACTTCTAGTAACCCTGAGCACAAAGTCAGGAGTAGAGGCCCTGAATCTGATAGGATGTGGCCCTATAAACCCCCCAAAATGAAACCTAATTATTAAACATCTTCCTTCACCTGTGGCTCTTTCTTACATTTCTGAGTAAAGGGTCATGACAGTTCAACTCAAATAGAGTTGCTATTTCTATTACTAAAACAAGTTTGGTTGCTTTTTTAAAAAATTCATTCTGTTACTAAACAGGTTTGTTTTGGGGCTGGAGCAATAGCACAGCAGGTAGGGCGATTGCCTTGCATGCAGTTGACCCAGGTTCGATCCCCAGCATCCCTGAGCACTGCCAGGAGTAATTCCTGAGTGCAGAGTCAGGAGTAACCCCTGTGTATTGCCAGGTGCGACCCCAAAAGAAAACAAACAAACAAAACAAACCCAGGTTTGTTTTTGTCTTTTAAGTTTCATATGATAGCACTGGAGGGAAATCTAACTTAAGAAACTTCAGGGCTGAAGAGATAGCACAGTGGGAAGGATGCTTACCTTGCATGAGACAGACCTGGGTTCAACTTTCAGAACCACATATGGTATCCTGAGCCCTTCAGGATGATCCCTTAGTGCAGAGCCAGGAGTAAGCCCTGAGTACCACCAGGTGTGGCCTAAAACCCCCAAAATCAACCATACAAAAGAAAAATCTTCCAACCATAGGCTTTTTCCATTCTGCAGAAACCTGTGTTTTCTCTTGAACACATATTTCTCTTCTCTTCCCTCACATACATCTAACTTTTTTCAATTAAAAACTACATTGCTTTACTAATAAAAATCTGCCAACCATTTCTTTTTTTCCTTTGACAAGTTATACCTGTTATTTTAAATTTCTTATCAAGGCGGCTTAAGGCATATTTATCATTATTATTATGATTTTGGCAGCCAGTGCGAGGAGGGGAGGCTCTAAGTGAGGTTGAGAAGGCCGAGGTGCAGCAGTGCTTGGGGGCCCTTCAGATGGCCCTGGAGACGCTCAGGGAACCCTGACGGGCTTCCTGTAAGGCATGCAACTTAACTCGAACTCTCACTGTATTATCTCTCCTTTCCATACAGTTTTTTCTTTAATAACCTTTTCATATCCTCTTACCTTAGCTGTCAAATATGATGGACATGTCTTCCTTCTTTCATTTGATCTTTCTAAGGTTCTTTTCTCCCATGGTTTCTGATCATGCCTCTCAGTTTCTGTTCCCTGCTCCTTCTATGGTAACGTCCCTAAGTTTCTGACTTCAGCCTTCTTTCCTCATTTTATACATTTTCAGTAGATGATGTCACCCATCTTCTTGTTCCACCTACTAGTTATCTGTTGCTGACATTTAGCGCCAGCCAAATAGCTCTCATTACCTGCCATTCTACCTGGATAGCCTCCAGGCATTGTAGACTCATCCCTGACTAAGGTTCAAATCTTTGCTCTCCATTCTCTAATCACCCTTCCCAGAGTTTTCCATCAGGACGACTTGCAATAACGTTCCTGTGTGTGGGTGTATGTGTGCTTTTGGGGTCACATTCAGAGATGATCAGGGCTACTCTTGGTTCTGTGTTTGGGGGCGTTTCTCTGGTGGTGCTCAGAGACCATGTAGTACTGAGGATCTAACTTTGGTCCCTCTCTCCAGCCCCTCTTTTTCCGTTTCTCTCCTTCCCTGGTATGTGATCAAACCAACGGTCTCACGGACAACGTGAACGAAAGCTCTACAGTTGAGCTACAGCTCTAGGTCCCAGAATGATCGATCTTTCTTTTCTCTTTCTTTCTGGAAGGAGCGGAGGGAATTGGGTCCCCCTGGTGCTCAGGGGCTATTCCTTCTGTGCTCAGGAGTGATCCCCGGACAGGCTCATGAGTCAATGTGTGATGCTGGACATTGAACTGTTGCTGACCCCAGACAAGGCAAGTGCCTCACATCCTCTACTGTCTCTCCCACCCCCACAATTTTTTGTCAACTATGCCTCTTCTCTCTTGCCTCCATGTTGTGTGTGTTGTTTCTTCCTCTGCCACTTCTCTGTCCTCTTTGATTTGTCCTCAGATTCAGTCAGGCACCATTTCTTCAAGGAAACCCTCCCTGATGTGGCCCAGTCAGCTTTTGGGTCCCTCCAAAATTCTGCACCACCGTTACCACTCCCAAAGCACCTGGAGTATTTTTTTTTCTTTTTGGGTCACACCCGGCAATGCACAGGGGTTACTCCTGGCTCTGTACTCAGGAATCATTCCTGGTGGTGCTCAGGGGACCATATGGGATGCTGGGAATTGAACCCAGGTCGGCCTCATGCAAGGCAAATGCCCTATCTGCTGTGCTATCGCTCCAGTCCTGCACCTGGAATATTTCTAAGATATGGGGCCTATTGCACTCAGATTGTAAATTTTATTTTCCCTATTATAAAGTCACCTGATGGTAGGAACCATATCTTTTCCCCTTTTATGTTCTCAGCACATGACACCTAAGAGATGTTCCATAAATGTTTGTCTCACTAATGGTGTCAACTTCTCTCTTCCCAAAACCATTCCAGTCAGGCCTTGTTCCTTGTTCCCCAGTAGCATTCGATGTCGTGACCCTCATGCTGGCAAGTATGGGGTTACTTTAAGCTAATCTCTGTGGTACATTCTGTTGATAACGCTCCTTATTGCTTTTCTCACTTCTCGGACCTTGTTCTCTTATTTCTATTTCACCAGTTTCTCTCTCATTTCCTCAGCTGGTTCTCTGCGACCTTTAAACACCAAGGTCTCAGTCTTCAGATCTTTCTGCTCTCTCTCCACTTCCTAGGAGAGCTCATGTATCTTTTACCTTTTTCTGGTGGGTATGGGGAGAGGGGGGTTCAAGGGGTGGCTCTGTGGTGGTGCTCTGGAGGTCCAACACCAGGCAATTCTTGGCCAATTGGACCCTTGGACCACTGGTTCAATCCAAGGGCCCAAGGATTTGATGCTGAAACAACCTGATTTCCTCAGCTTCGCAGAGCAGGATTGCATGGCATGAGGGACAGCATGTCGCTGGCACAGAATGTGGCAAGAAATGAGAGGATGTATTCTTCTGTCTGAAATGTCCTCCTCCTGGATTCTGCACAAATATCTTCTCAGAGGCCTTTTCTTGACTAGACTCAATCCTGCTAACCTGCTTCACTGTTACACAGCACTCACCACCACCTGACACAATTTCTTCACTGTCTCTCCCTCTATATCATCGAGTCTGTGCTGGCAGATGTGCAGCTATATCTGTATCGATGACACATAACTCCAGAAATACTTGCTAGATGAAGATAGGGAGGAAAAGAAGAAAGTAGGAAAGGAGGGGAGAAATCACAGGAAAAGAGAGGAGGGAAAAGAAACCAGAAACTGAGTTGACATGATCAGAGTATTTTCTTAAAGTGCACCAGAGGAAGTTCATGTTCAAAGTACTGGAAAATTAAATCAAGAACCTAGTCAGCAGCATCTTCTTAGAAAAAAATTGACAGGGGCATTTTACATACTAATTTAAATAAGTTAGGTATTGAAAACTGCCCAATGGATCTTTTAAAATGCCAGATAAATGAAAGAATTCTTGCCCAAATACATGGGGGTTCCTCCCCCCCCACCCCAAGATTAAATCAAGAATTTCAAAAGAAATACACTACCCAGCTCAGCTGGAAGTTAGCCAGTGGGGAGAGGAGAGAATGGGGTTTAAGCAGGGCACTTGTTCTGAGGTTTCAGCCTTTGATGAATTCTGCAGCTAAGAGACTTGCTAACTAGTCTGGGCCTAGAAAGACCCCGACTCTTTTAAACAAAGATCCCTGGAGGGTGACAACAGCTGCGGCCATTTAGATTCATACATACAGAAAATTCTGGTTATTTGATTTGGGAAAAAGTGGTGACTATGGAAACCCTGTACTCTAATTTGAGCAGGAGCAGTAAACCATTTACTAACCTCCGTCAAAGCCCTTGGCCTTTTGTCCTTCACTCAACCAGGGAAAGAGAAAAGTGGCTGAGAACCTCAGTGAAAATATCCAACTGCCTGCACCTGAGCCAAGTTCTCCTGAGCAAATGCCCACAAATCAGACCATCTGGCGAAAAGACCGAGCCCCCACGGAGGCTGCAGGTGTCCCGGCCACACGGACTCTGTTCATGAAGTTCCTCTCACAGACCCCGGGGCTTCAGATACTCACACTTCTCTTTTCTGTGTTTGCTTCTTCAGCTGCTTTCTGGTACCTTCAGAGAAGGGGGGGGGAGAGAATATTCTCAAATTAAACTTACATTTTTCACTCTTTCAGTCTTTAAGCAAAACAAAGGGTTTCTGCCAGCCACTAACTGTATTAAATCAACTCTATCGAAGCAGCCTCAGAACAGCCCTCACTTCCAGTGCTGGTCCCACTATCTGTTCTGATATCTCTGAAAGATGCATCAGTGGATGAGAAAAACTCCTGGAAACTGGATACCATGGGGTATAAGCCCCAAGTTTCATCACTTATGAACTGTGATCTCTTGCAAGTTATTTAATCCTCTCTAAGCCTCAGTCTCCTGACTCAGAAAATGGCATTACACATCTATTTACAGGGTTGTTTGGATCACATATGTAAGAATACTTTGGAATCAGAGAATATGGCACTGTATTAATCCTATAATATACATAACTCTGAACTTTAAATTTATTTATTTGCTTTTTTGGGGTCACACCCGGCAATGCACAGAGGTTACTCCTGGCTCTGCACTCAGGAATTACCCTTGGCAGTGCTATGGGGACCATATGGGATGCTGGGAATCGAACCCGGGTCGGCCACATGCAAGGCAAACGCCCTGCCCGCTGTGCTATCACTCCAGTCCCAAACTCTGAACTTTATAACTTTTTTTACTGTTGTTGTTTTGGGGCCACACTCCTATTCAAGGCTGACTACTGGCTTTGTGCTCAGGGGACCACATGGAGTGTTGGGGATCAAGCCTGGATTAGCAACATGCAAGGCAAACACTCTACAAGCTGTATTACTGCTCTGTCCCTGAACTTTATAACTCTTGCCCGTCAAATGATCAAGGTGTAATACTGCTTGTACATGAGTGAATTTAGTCTAAGTGTTTCGTGTTGTCAGATTAGCTCAGAAAAATGTATTTGAGGGCACTGCACATCTTTTAAATAACACATAAAATGTCCTTAGAAGAAATTACAAGTAGATCAAACACTCCTGAAATTCATAAGGAACAACAAATTCCCTGAATACTGAAAGCAATCTCTGGGAAAAAAAGATGGGAGGCATCACTTTTCCCAACTTCAAACTGTGCTACAAATCAGTAGTAATTAAAATTAGCATGGTACTGGAATAAAGAAAGGCAAATCCTCAGGTCAATGTAATAGAGTTGAATATCCTGAGACAGACCCTCGAGTATGTGATCAGTTAATCTATGATAAAGAAGCAAAAAATATAAAGTGGAGCAAGGAAAGCATCTTCAACAAATGGTGGTGAGAAAACTGGTCAGCTAGATAGAATAAATAAATAAAATAATACCTCTTTCCAAAGCCATGTACAAAAATCAAATCAAGGGGCTGGAGAGATATTACAATTGGTAAGAGACTTGTATGCATCCTACCTGAATTCTAGCTCCTCTGAGAAACATTAGGAGTAATTCCTGAATGCAGAGCCAGGAATAACTCTTGAGTATTACTGGGTGTAACCCAAAAACTTAAAAAAAAAACTCAAATCAAAATGGATTAAAGACCTTGATATGAGACCTGAATCCATAAGGTACATAGCGGAAAACATAGGTAGAACTTTCCCTGACATTGATGTTAAAGGCATCTTCAAGGAAGAACTACCACTGACCAAGCAAATGGAAGCAAAGATAAACAAATGGGACTACATTAAACTAAGATGCTTCTGCACCTCAAAGGAAACAATGACCATAATAAAAAAGACAGCACATGGAATGGGAGAAATTATTTATTCAAAACTCATCTGATAAGGGGTTAATATTCAAAATATATAAGGCACTGGTAGAACTTTACAAGAAAATATTCAATCCCATCAAAAAGTGGGGAGAGGAAACGTACAAAAACTTCCTCTAGGAAGCAATAAATGGCCAGAAGGCACATAAAAATGCTCTACATCACTAATCATCGGGGAGATGCAAATCAAAATAACAATGAGATATCATCTCATGCCACAGAGACTGGCATTCTTTCAAAAGAACAAGAACAACCAGTGCTGGCATGGATGCTGGAAGAAAGGGACTCTCAATTCACTGCTGGTTGAGAACGCTGACTGGTCCAGCCCTTTTGGAAAACAACATGGACATTTCTCAAAAAACTAGAAATTAAGCTTCCATACCCAGCAATACCATGCCTGGGAATATGCCCAAGGAATATACTTGGGGATATACTCAAAAACACACTGCAGAAAAAAACATCTGCACTCCCATATTCATAGTAGCACTAGTCAAAATAGGCTGAATATGGAAGTAACCCAAATGCCCAAGAACAGATGAGTGGATAAAGAAATCATCTACTCAGTGGAACACTATGCAGCTATTAGGAAAAATGAAGGCATGAGATTTGCTTATATATAGAAGCACCTGGAGACTATCAGGCTGAATGAAATGAATCAGAGAGAGAGGGACAGACATAGAATGATTGCACTCACTTGCAGGATTAAAAAAAAAACATAGTATGAGATCAATAAACAAAGACAGTAGAAATGAAGGCCAGGAGGACTGGTCCATGATTAGAAGCTTACCAGAAGGGTGTGGGAGAGTACAGTTAGAACAGAGAAAGGACCACTGTGACAATGATAGTTGGAAATGATCACTGATTACTGGGTGCTGAAGGAAAGTCAAGTGATATGCTTGATACTATTTCAGTGGCAGTACTGCAAACCACAGTGCCTCAAAGGAAAAAAGGGGGTGGGGAGAGAGAAGAAAAGCGTCCGCCATAGAGGCTGGTCGAGGGTGGGGTGGGGTGGGGTGAGGAAAATTGGTGACATCATGGTAGGAAATGCACACTGGTGAAGGGATAGGTGTTGGAACATTATACGACTGAAGAAAATCAGGAACCATTTTGCAACTGTATCTCACAGTGATTTAATTTTTAAAAAGGTTAAAAAAAAGCTTACATTACAATTTGACAATTAAAGAAAAATATTTTACTCTTTTTATATGCATAAGAGAGATACCTGAGAAAGGTCTATGTGATAAAACAGCCATTGGTTCTTTGAGCAACATTTTTCTTAGCAATGCATAAAACAGTGACATAGTCAAGTGTGTGGCATCTAGATTCGATATACTTATTTTAATATAGTTATTAACTTAGTAATTCTATTTTATCATTACTTAAATGAAAAGATTTCTGAGAATAACTGAAGGCTAAGGTTTTTTTCTTTCTTTTTTTTTTTTTTTTGCTTTTTGAGTCACACCTGGTGATGCTCAGGGGTTACTCCTGGCTTTGCACTCAGGAGTCACTACTAGCGGTGCTCAGGGGACCATATGGGATGCTGGGAATTGAACCCGGGTGGGCCGCGTGCAAGGCAAACGCCCTACCCACTGTGCTATTGCTCCAGCCCCTAAGGTTTTTCATTTTGGCCATATTGTGTGGAGCTTAGGGGTCACTCTGGGACTTGAATATGAAGCTCTGAAAATACGCTTCGCTATTGACCACTGAAATCTTATGACGTTTCCTGAGGACATTAGGTTTTCTATGTTTGAAGACTAAGGAGGTCCAAACTGCAGCAAATCTCCAGACCACTCAAAACTGTCTTCACCAAACTTCTTTCATTAACTACCCCTTAATTCAGCACCAAAAGAGCAGCATCACTTGGAGAATACTTATAATAAGTCACTCATTGGCTAGCATGCTGAGAAACTAGTCAGCTAGAACTAACTCAATCCAGAAAAGTATAGTTCAGAAGGTCACGTGGTGGGCTGGAGAGATATAGTACAGCATGCGGTTTACTTTGCATAAGGTTGACCTGGGTATGTGTTCATCACCAGACTTTGTACACAAGTCAAGATATGGATACACCCAAATGTCCAACCAGAGCTGAATGGATCAAGAAGCTGTGGTATGGGGGTGGGGTTTGGGGAATGGACAAAAGGGAAACTTGGGGACACTGGTGGTGGGAAATATACACTGGTAAAGGGATGGGTGTTGGAACATAATTTGACTGAAACCCAATCATGAACAACTTTGTAACTTTGTATCTCACTGAGATTCAATACAAAAATTTAAAAAAAAAGTTGTATATGAACACAATGGAGTACTATACAGCTCTAAGAAAGAAAGAAAGAATCATAATTTGCAGCAACATGGATGAAACCAGAGGATATCATGCTGAGTGAAGTAAGAAGGAAAGGAATAGATAGAGACAGATCTCTCTCATATGTGGGACTTAAAAATACACAGCAAGGTAGCAACAAAGATTCAAAGGGAACATAATGGGAGAACTGGTCTACACAACTGAGTTTGGGGGGTGTTTGGGAGGTAGGACTGTGGGGTCCTAGGAAGGGAGAGAGGGTACACTGGTGATGGGTGTGGTATTGGAAATATGTGCCTGAGAAACCATTATTAGTAGCATTGTAAACCACATATTCTTAATTAAAAAAATTTAAAATAATGTTATATTTATAAATGAATTTATAATTTGATATTATTTTGTAAAAGAAATCTAAGTAAAAAAATTTAACAATTAAAACAAAACCACAAAGAGGAAGTATTTCTTTATTTACCCAAACCACCTGTTATTTATTTTTTCATTGGGACCACACCTAGCAGAGCTAGGGACAATCTTGGAGTTGCTGGGGGTGACGGGAGCTTAGATGCTAAGGGGTGACGTTCAGGGCCTCACACAGCGAGGCATATCCTCTTCTACTTGACTTATCTTCACAGTTCACAAAACCAACTTTCAATTAATAAACATCTTTGTAAGCCCAGAGCTTTCTGTTTTGTTTAGTTTTTGCTCTACAACTGAGCAGTTTTCTGATAGGGTAGGTTAAAAGGACTTCCAAAAATTTCTGGCATTTCCTTCATCATAAAAATGAAGAAAGTGGAATTAGAACTACTGTTGAGTGACAAGCTAGAAAGATATCTGCAATTTATAGACAGAAAAACGAACTTTCCTAAAATTAAAAAAAAGTAACTTTCCTAAAACAAAAGGACTATGACCACCACCACCACCGCCACAACAAAAAAAAGATAAACAATAGAAAAATTGAACGCAATTATAGAAAAGAAC